GTGTGTGGATTGTTGGTAGATCAGCTAATTTGCATAATAGTATGCTTCCAGGGCATTGGCCCTGCCACATGTTATAGTCAAAGTTCAGAGTTCAACACAACACCATATTGAAGAGAACACCAGCTGAGCAAGTTGTAATATTTTAGTTTGGCAGCTGAATTAAATTGGCTGGAAACTCTGGAATTGTTTTATCCATTAGGAAAAAAACCACATCATAACCTTATGTGTTAAAATGGGTGAGTTTTGCACTGACACTAGTAAATACAGCTTTCAAATTGCTAGGCCTAGGCCAACCTAGACTAAACCCTTTCGTTTTCATACAAACAATATGCCCCAGTGCAATGATCCATAAAAAAGGTTTTTTGAATGCAAAATAATCTATGTTATGGCTGTCATTAAAAATGACGGTATTTATTGAACACTGACATTTTGAGTTTTGTATTTATGCTCATTACAATTGTAGCAGCCTAGGCTCCATCTGCTTGCTGTACACAACCCAGTACAAATCCTCTTGAACAAGTTCTAGGCCTAAGTGGAGTTTCATGTTGGTACCCGTTGGTATTAACGCTACAGCAGTAAGACTTCCAGAATTACATTATGTGAGGTCGAATGTCAAGGACATAACTTTGAAAATGTAATATCCATAATGATAAAAAAATAGGACATAGATTATTATTAAAAGAGACACTAGTATCAGTAGGCTTATATCAATACCAGTTGAACCTCTCATTATGATTTCAATAATTTTGTGTACGTTTATGTTGTGTGAATGATGATCGTTGTGCTGTGATAAATTTATTGTAGCGGAGGGTTAGTTAGTGCAGCAGTAAGAGATTGAACTTCAATGCGAGATCAATGCGAGGCCTGCCAATGTTGTACTTGATTATGTCCTTGGGTTAAAACACCTGGCTCTAATAATAATAATAAAATTAATACTAAAATCTTTCTTTTCCATTCAAACTCTTCCACCGAGGAGGTGTTATAAGGAAGGCTATTCCACAAGGCCATCTGTTTAACTAACATTCTTAGTTATGTACAAGGGAAAAACAAATTACCCTTCCTTTGGATGGGACTTACAGCCAAAGGTCCTGTATCTATAATATTTCTCAATTTTTATTTTTATTTGATAAACCTCCAAAAATGTAGATGTAAATTTAGTACTATACACAACTAAAATAAAACATAATGGTAAAAACATAGTAAAAACAGTATCAAATAAATAATAAGAACTTTTAAACAAATGAATAAAAAGGAATTCATTTGATTAAGAATAAAAATGGTTTTGATTATTGTAATTTCCTAAAAGGAAACTTTTCTTCCACGCAATGAAATAAATATAATTCTTAAAAGTGATCTGATAAAAACTGTTTATATGCACATATTTCGACCGGAAAAAAATTAATTTACCTCACATAATATTTTTTTAACTCATCAAAAGTATATTCCTCTCCCACCTAGATGATTTTGGCATATTAAATGAAATAAAAAGTTTTGTTATATTTTGTTCCCGTTATCATAATTCAAACATAAAGTTTGCTGAAAAAGATATAAAAAAAGTCTTTCTTTGGTGACAAAATTCTAAAATTTCTTTACAAAATAGAAATGTACAGGACCCTTTGAAGGTTATCAAAACCACAAAACCATTGCCCCAGTCACATTTCCCACAGTCACGGTTTGTTTACGTTACTTTATGCCCTTTACAATCACAATGACTGCCCCTATTTTTTATAGTGCCCATCTCTCACTTATGTTGTTTAGTTAATGACGTGTTTAAAAGCTGTCCGCTTGGTATTTGAAATAAGGATGTCACATTCTCTTCCTGCTGCATTTTTACTTTGAGCCTTCCTTAATGCACACATGAAACACATTAATGCCCATTATTTGAGATATGGGGGCGATGACCCGGACATCTCGGCCCACCCACTGGGATCTCATGAGTGAATTTGACTTTGAGTACAATGGGAATGATAGCGAGAGTGTTAGTACCAGGTACAATAGGTAGGGGTTGGGGGTCATCAAGATTTATAAATCCGGAAAGCAATCAGTAGAGTTGTATTTGGAATTTATGCTTCAAATTCAGGGAATTGATAATTTTATTTCAATTTAGCCAGTTGTCTTGTGATAGACTTGTGTAAACAAGCTTACATATTATGGTGCAGTAGTACAGATTTATCAGGAGTTTGTGATAATTAAAAACACTTAATTTTTTATCAAATATGTCATATTCACATAAAGAAAGATTTATTCATTTGTGATTTACAATTATAAGGGATAAATTTAAAATTTGAAGTTTAATCAATTTAATTAATAAATTTAATCTTCAAATTTGAAGTTTTAAATTGTCCCACCCTTGACAAGTTAAATTGGGTGCCATTTGGGTGCCGTTGGAGGTCTAGGTGTGTCATAAGATCAAAGTGTAGTATTAAAGGTCATTAAATTGTTTCTCTATTAAGCTGTCAATCAATAGAATATTTATTTAAAGCTAAGAATGATGCATTGTGGGTTGTGTTTGACATATGTTATTGTATTGGTTTCTGAGAAGTGAATAACGAATAAAGAGATAACCAAGTAAAGTAATATAAATAACATTATTACTATTATTATTATTTTATTATAATTATAATTATTACTATTACATTATGTATGATTATTTTATTATTATGTTTTGATAATTACTATTATGATGATAATGATAAGTACTATATTATGACGACTATGATGTTAATGATGATTGTGGTGATGATGTTTATTCATTTAATATTGACACATGTTTTTCATTGATGTTTAAGTAACAAACAATTTAATCTAAATTCATTTAAAAAAAAACAAATTCATAGAAGTATGTGAAATTATTTGTAGCCTACTGAAGGAAAAAAAAAGATCAAATTATATGTAAAAGTTGAGAGAATTCTAATGCCAGACTTCAATGCAGAATTTGGCATCTGGAACATTATTTAGTGGTCTTGTTGGGCATGTTAACCTTTATACTTTTAACTACAAGCATGACCTGAGAAGTTGACCTTAACACTGGTGTGAGCTTGGTGAATACCGGGTAATCCCGCCAAGTTAATCCCAGGGTTCGCAGCCATACTCTGCATTTGTCATAGTTCCTTCTGTTCTCCATATGTGACCCCATTCCACACATGTTGCGTTGACACGGTCTTGACACAAGTCCACCAGTCTTTCATGTTTTCGATTAAGTACCAGCTGTTTTATGACTTTATAGAAAGTGCTCTTGTGTGCACAATGACATCATTATGATTAGAAAAACAATAACATTGTTGTCTTGCCGATTGGGACAATTATTCGTCTGTCTCAGGAAGGAGAAAAAAAGAAAGGAGAAAGGAAGGTTTATATAATTTTTTTCACTGAAGAAAAAAAAATTATTTTGTATTTTTTCAGTTAATTATAGATCTAATCTTTATTAATCATTTATTTTTTAATTATTACTATTATTTTTATTTTAATATATATATAATTCTTCCTCAGTATCTGTTCATCTAAATTAGTAATCTAGTGATCTGAATCACTTAAATTTAACTCCTATTAAGGGGACACCCTCAAGACCAAAAAAGTGTCCCCTTAATAGGGGCATGGAGGTATAAAATAGATTTTATACCTCTATGATAGGGGTGTTCTGAATGTAGGTTCACGGCAGTGTTAAAAAATATACTCCCCTCATTTTGTGGCCGAAAAAGTGTCTTCTTAATAGGGGTGTATTCTATTGTACTGTCAATTATTGATTGATTGTTTGTTTGTTTTTATTTAGAATTCACATACAACCGCAAGATACAAAAAATATAACATAACAGAATTCTGGAATGACAACACAATAAATTAGCCAAACGGCCGACTTATTTCCATTGTAGTCCCTGAAACAATAACTAACACAACACAAAAAATCTATATTATAAGTTTAAATTATTATTTTTATTCTAACTAAACAAAATCTTTTGCTAGCACTCTGTCACTTTGTATTTTAGTATTGTATTCAGCCCTTTCTTACTCTTTTTTTCCCCCCTTACTACATATAATTGAAAAACCTTTCCCTTGCTTACTTTTTGCATCTGTATCATATTGTTATTAGGCTTGTAAAGTGGTTACCTAGTAAATGGGATTAGGCTATGAAAACCAGAGCAGCGGGAAACAGGATGTCGTCCTGTCCTCCCTAATGATCTGATGATTTCCTAGGCCTGCTGCTCCACGCCACTAAGCCTTTCTCTGTAGTCTCCGCTTGTACGAAATCTGTCTGGGTTTCTCTGATAACATAATGGCTTGCTGTAGTAATCATGAAGGCTTGTCTGACTACAGTTCTGTTTGTAGCACACACACTAGGCCGCTCACGATTCAGACAGGAATGCTTTTGTCAAGGAGATGATTAAATTTGATAAATTATTGAATTTGTGTTGATGAGACATTTAAAGTGACTCTCTCATGACCTCACATTTTTTTGGATGGCTCACATAACAATATGCAAAATATGAAGCTAGTGATATTTTAGAAATTTTATAATATTTATTACTTTGTAATAATAATATTTTAAATATATTTTGATAAAAATTTCAACAAGAGTAGGTGTTTAATAGAATGCATACCTCTACCAGACCACTTTATGATTTTTTTACTTTCTGTGACTTTGACCTGTTCTAGGTTGTGAAAAGTAAAAAAGAAAAACAATAAAGGAAGTTTAAATTATTAGTTCAATATCAATAATATAATAATTTTAACAATGCATTTAACAATAATATTAAATAATAGTTATAGTAGTAATATAGTAATAACAATATTAAGAATAAAGTTAATATCAATATTAATAATAATAATGTTATTAATAATTACAATTCTAATTAGAACTTTTGACATTTCACAGAAGGGAAAAAGGTAAAAATACTCCTCACCTAATAAACAAACGTTTTATTTCAACTACGTAAAGAATAATTTTGTTTTTACTCCCTGTAGTAAAAGAGATTGACAATAAATTCTATTATCTTTGTTTTCAGCAGAGCAGCCACGACCGGTAAACCAACAGCGAAAACGTGACGATAGGACTGATAAACAACGTGAAAAACTACAACGCAGGCTACGTGACCGCTACCACAATTCTAATCACCCACCTAGTCCACAAACATCTCCCAGAAATTCCCATTCATCCCGACATGATGGAAACAACAGCGGAAACAAATCCCGGAGGAGAACTAGTCCACGATCAGAAGAAATTGAAGGTAAGGTTGTTCATCACATTTTGTACTATATTTAGATCATTTTTGGATGAAACAGCTTTTCACTAGAGTTGATGTGACCCTTGAACCATTTCCTTAAAACGTGAACACTACAAGATGAGTGAATACCAAGAGGTAGAGTGTTACAGAACAATGGGACAGGATATTAGAATGATAACTAGATTCACTGTTCTAGAGTCAAGAAGCTCCTTCAAAAACCTGCTTCAAGAACCTGTTTGAAGCTTAGATGTGGAATTAAGTAAGAGACCTGAAAGATCAATGTATGAAAGAAAGGTTATACATCACTTATTGCAGATTCCTGAGTAAGGAGGTAATATGTTCTCATTTGTTAGGCTTGTCCAGCGGTGGCTCCAAAAATGTGCCGACAAGGGGTCTTGACATGTCCGATGGGGGTCCAAACCAAGGGGCCCAAACCAAGGGGCCGACTAGAGCCTCGGTCCGAATCCCGGAATAAAAAATTTATTGTTTATTGTTTCTAGAAAATTGCTGATAGTAAGGAAAAATATTGCGGGAATGTAATCTGCTTTCATTTCAGAGACACTCCAGAATGCACCGTAACGTTAATATTGCAGGGGTGGTCCCAGGATTTTCCCCAACAGGAGGGCCCTGGCTTTGTTGGGGATATTCCCGCAATATTGTGGTAAAACGTAGATCTTTCTGAAATGTTTTAACCAAGTGTATACCTTGTCATATGAACTTCATCACACCTGCTTTGCAATCCATTCTTACATTTGTCTATGTCACACCCACCCTATCATTCCTCACAGCAGTAGATCCATAGCAGAAATTCTTGAAGATATTGTTCCTTTCCTTGTGGGATTTACATGACACTGGTTTGAGGGTTTATGTTACTGGTTGTGTATAGTGAATACCTTTTCGGCTCCATAATGGTGTGCAAGAAATCTCAACCAACCAATCAATCAATCAATCAAAAACTGATCACTAAAGCAGCTTTTCTTGGAAATACTAACCTACCTTTAAAAAAAACTGAGCTAGGGCAAAACTTTCTATTTGGCGAGACGTATTGATGCATTCAAACTTTTTAGGCCCGATAATAGATGGCACACAAACTTTAAAATGTGTGAGCGTAAAGTTGTTTTTATGGGTTTTTTCCGTGGTGTATAAGAACGTTTTATTATGTACAAACAAGTGTTCAGTTGATTAAATAATAATTATATTCCTTGAAAGTGGTAGCCCCATGAGTATTTACAGTAGTGTATGAACTTGCATGATTTAATCATGCCTATTGAAAATATAAGCGTCCTTAACTACCTGTTCTTGATTGGCCATGATGAAAATTTGTATATCTAAGACTGCCAATTCTCAAGTTGATTCCCTTTAAAATTATACACGATATGTTATGCAGAAATCAGCAACATGACCTTTGAACTGTTACCATCAGAAGAGGATGTTTTTCGTTAACAATTACGTGGGCAAACTGACAAACCATTAATTACTGTACACAGAAACCTAAGGATGTGGCATTGTGACATCCTCTTTCAACTAGCAACCCGCATCCTTTAATCGTCGGGTAATTAGACTAATGTACCCGTTGCCATAGCAACTGTTGAAGCTCATCTTTCCTTGATTGTTGCCCTACTGGAAGATAAAAAGGAAGATTGTATTTTGTACATCTGCCGTGTAATAATTAAGGACACACTGGCTTACTGTATGTCCGATCATGTGATATTGTGAATGCTGTCGATTCACTTTAATCTGATCATCAGATAGCAAAATAGAATCAGAGATAGAATAAATCAAATCACGTAGTTAAAATATAGTAACATATAATGCTCCAAGACTTTGTGTAGAGAAACACAAGAATTCATACCCACCTAATATTTTTTTTATTCATTTTGTCAGGGTACTATAAAAATTAAATTTTACCTTATTTTTATTGCATACAGTAATATATTTTTTTAATAGTCCCAAATTCTGATTGTACTTTTCTGTACACATGGCACATACATAGTGCTTCTACACTTAATAATGTATAGATTGTTATAATATTACTAAGAAAAAGAAATAGAATTCTACTTACCTAATATTTTCATTGTTATTTACATCATTTTTGCAGGCCAGAATAAAAATTGAACCTCCTTGATGATTTTAGTGCATAGTTCATATATTTTACGTAGCATTCACTTCTTGAAAAAAGCTAGGTTTCGACTTGCGCGACATGACGTTAGAATGGATTTTGTGTACCGTCCTTTGCACTACATTAAATTTGGCAAAATAGCATCCTAGAACCCATGCGACGTTCTTGCATACGCAGATGACCTCATATTGATGTCATTTCGCTCTATATCTACCGTATCATACAATCGGAGCTCCCTCCGTAGATGTAGAGGAAGTTTATTTTATTATCCTTGTCTTCTATTCCTCTTAATGTTTCCTCATTGTTATTGATGTTGTCACTGTCAGTATTAATATATTCAGACATCTACATCACAATTTTTTTTTTTTAATAAAATATCAAAGCAATAATTATTGGTTTCATTTGTTTACCTTTTAGTGAACACTGCAAAAGGTTAAATCACTTTAAAAAAGGTTGATTATAATTTCCCATGTCCAGTAATTTTGTATTTTTTGCCGCTTGCATGACTTCGATTTGTGCGTCATCAGTTCTAATTTTAAAAAATTAGATTCCATGGAAAAATTGAGATCAATCACTTAAGCTGTGTACTCACTGCGCTCGATGGCAGCGCGACAATGAACGCGTGGAACCAACGGATTGCTTTTTTAATGAGGATCCGTTTAGACTGCCACTGACAATGAGCAGACGGTGTTACGTTGTCTCGCTCTCAAAAAGCTGAAGTGGATTCTTCATGCGACGGTCGTATGACCATCATATGACGCCGTGAGTGCCCGCCTTTACAGTTTATTGTAGGTTGGATTTCTTTTGAGAGATTTAAAATTTAAATCTGTTGTCAAAAATGTTTTGTAATTAACTGTAAAGCCCGACATTTATTAATTAATAAATGTTATTGCTGAAAATGTCAACATGAAAGCTTATAAATGCGTTGAATCTATAATGAATCTTTTGATATGATGGTAAAATTTTCTGCTTCAAATTGAAATATCAAAGGTTCAATTATGAAGCAGATCAGTTGTTTTGTGTTCTTGGGTACTTTATTCACATTTTCTTTCAACACTCTAGAGGTTAAGCTCTGATTTCTATATTAAACAGAGGGTTATTTCCAATATTCATGAACTGAAACTCTTCTTGGTTTAAACTAAACATTTTTTTTCTGAATTACATTTTCAATGTTTTATTGTTTCTATTTGTGATTGTTATTTTGTTAGATTATACAGTATACTGCATTTCTGCATTCTGTAAATCTTAATTTTCTACGCGGCAGTTTCAAATTGATTTTTGCTTTTTATGCTTGTGCATATAAATAAATTAGTATTGGTAAACTGCGTATGACATTGACAAGCAATTTCCCTCCCACCATGAACGTTTTCATCATATTTCATGCTGTTTCCATAGAGCCAGTCACCTTCCATTAATCGCATTACTTTTGATAAATAATGTGCATTGCGATTAACACCCGATTCCATTTTTTAAAGAAATAATGTTCCGCAGTAGAATTTTGATCCATTGTAAATTGATCATAATTCTGATGAGCGTCTACTAATTATTCTACCATATGAAACTAATCTGTGATGGCTAATTAACTGATACCCTTCGTTTAACGTCAGATCTGACTTTAATCCCAGAGGAATTTCAGGGTTGAACTCGGTAAAGCATAAGTATTAAACATTATCTTCATCTGAATGGATTAGAAAAAAAATTATTTCATTACTGATCAATTGCCAATTAACAATTGATAATTGAGTTGGATCACTATCATGTTTGATTGAATTTAGTGTTATAAATATATTTTGAATTAAGCTAGTGATGAGTCTGTCTTGTACAGTACATGGTACAAAAATATGCCTGATAGAAGTAAACCAATTTAAAAAAAAAACATGTTGCCTTACATACACTGTGCCTTTGATAATTTTTCTTGGAATTAGCACATTAAAAGTTGTTGTATAAAATAATATTATTTTTAATAATAAAGATTAATAATGTGATTAATTATTTTTCATTTAAATGCATATTTATAAGGCTTATTGTTTTATTTTATTTTTTTTAGTATAATCCTTCTGCAATCTTAATTTCTACTTTCTTATTCCATGCCTTTAAACCTACATGTTTAGTCCCATATTCTCTAATCTTATCTGAATCCTGTTATCTTTTAGCTTTCCTCCTATTGGTTCCCTTATTTTAATCCCATTTTCTCTAATCCTATCATACTAAAATCTGATTGGTCAATATAATGTGAATAATTAAAAATAAATTACACCTGTACTGGAACCAAAACGAAGGATTTTGATTTCTAAATCCAATCTAGTGGCTAATCAGGACATTTGTCCAGACTTATCTGATAACACCAAAATGTGAATGGTTACTTGGTTGCTAAGGAACATGAGTGAATGATTCCACAGTTGCTAGGCAACACAAGCATATGCAAGATTATGATTGACTGAATGTCCATTTACACATAATTAGGCACTATGAAAGTACCGGATGGTGCTGTTCACACTGCCAAACTACAGAACAGACATGAACAAATTCTCAAGATCTTGTGATCATCTTGCAAGTAATGTTCCAATCCAATGTTATTAAGGGATCTTCTTAGAATACATTTAATACTGAAAATCAAACCACTAAATCTGTACATATGATGATAAAGTAATTTAAATGAAATTATGAAATAATTGTATAAACTAGGTGTGTAGGAATATGATTATAAACTCAACTATGTTCAGATTTGTCATAATTATTTAATCAGAGTAAGTGTTCCATTCGACTGCTGTCTCAGTTTTAATATTGCATCATATAAACATTATAATGTGCATTTTGGGTCATAACCCTGCTTTATTCAAATTATTCGTAAAATTAACATTCTAAAATGTTTAGCTTTATAGTT